AGATAGATAGATAGATAGATAGATAGATAGATAGATAGATAGATAGATAGATAGATAGATGTCTAATTTGAAAGTAGAGCACTTGCTGGAATGCTGGTGTTGTAACCTTAACCTTACTCTTAATAAATACTGTTCATCTGAGCTCTTCAATTCTTGTTCCTTGGATTATCTGTTTCTGGTCTAGACTGCAAGGAAGGAATTTTGACATTAGGGTTGTTTTCATTTGCAGATACGTGTGAAATCTGCATTTCCAGGAACCCTTGCTTAAACTGATTTTGTGCACTTTAGGGCTTCATGTGCTTGTGGAAAAATGGTGGCCACATCCCCTGCTAAAAGTTGGATTTGTGCAAGTGAGGGCTTGATAACCCTATATTCCTTTGGGGTGGAAGTTAATTCTTCCCCTGCAAATGTCACTGCTTTCCAGACAGTTGATATGCTGCTAAAACTGGTTTCTTTGGAGGCCTTTCAGTTGACAAAAATGAGATACATCTCTGGCAACGTCTAGTTATTGATCCTGGAATATCACAAACATGGGAGCTTTCAGGATGTAGACAAAGAGCCACAATTAGAAGCTTAAAAAAAAAAAAGGAAAGGAAATGTGTTTTTCAACATAAGAAATAAAACATGGCATTGTCCTTTACACCTTAATCTGAAGTTAAAATGGAAAACTCTCCAGCAATTTAGCTACCTGAGAGAATAATTTAGAAGTACTGACAGCCTGTTTCACCACTCTTTCCTGCAAAGCAGTTTCCAATAATTCCAAGGACTTAAAGGAGATGTCTGCTGACCACGGCTTGGCATGCTGGATAAGAAAACAAGTTTTTATGCTTTCTGTAATTTTATATATATTTATTGTTTTAATGGATTCTGTGAGCCGCCCAGAGTCCCCCATTAGGGGGAGATGGGTGGAGATAAATCGAACGAACAAACGAATGAACGAATGAACGAATGAATGAATGAATGAACAAACACTGCCTCTTCAGCAAAAGAAGCAGGTTAACTCT